ATTTTATTCCTTATTCTGTTCTATTTGATTCGATTCGATTCTAAATTCTATTCTATTCTATTCTATTCTATTCTATTCTATTCCATTCCATTCCATTCCATTCTATTCCTTATTTTATTCCTTATTCTGTTCTATTTGATTCGATTCGATTCTAAATTTCATTCTATTCTATTATATTCTATTTTAAACTTATTCTATTCCATTCCATTCCATTCCTTTCTATTCCTTAATCAATTCGATTTGATTCTAATCTTTATTCTATTCCTCTTCCATTCCATTCCATTCCATTACTTATTCTATTTGATTCTAAATTTCATTCTATTCTATTTTAAACTTCATTCTATTCGATTCTATTCCCATTCCTATTCCATTCTATTCCTTATTTGATTCTATTCGATTCTAATCTTTATTCTATTCCTCTTCCATTCCATTCCATTCCATTCCATTCCTTATTCTGTTTGATTCTATTTGATTCTACATTTCATTCTATTATATTTTAAACTCTATTCTATTCTATTCTAGTCTAGTCTAGTCTAGTCTAGTCTAGTCTATGTCTATGTCTATGTCTATGTCTATGTCTATTATTTCTATTTCTATTCCTTATTCTATTCCTTACTCAATTCTCTTCCTCTTCTTCTTCCATTCCATTCCATTCTATTTTCTAAATAGATTTCTCAAGCAGACTCGGAAATCTAACATAATTTCCTAGATTTGCAGGCAGTTTTTTTTTTGAACAAAATCTCAATGAATTTTGAACGAAATTTCAACGAATTGCAGGTGCCCCTGGAAGACGCTGGGTTAGTTTAAAGGTATGATTTAACCATCGCCAACCCCTTCCCTTCCCCCACCTCCCCCACCCTCCAAATCACCTTGAGAAATAGAAGGAGACAAAGAGCTGTGTGTTTGTTTGTTTGTTTTTAAAGGGAGGGTTGTGCTAAAACTGATCAGTAAATAAAGGAGATCGTTGGGATTCCTTCTTTGGTCACAAAATGTGCTTATGAACGCAAATAACTCCTTTCCAAAGATGGCATGCGATTTTTTTTGGGGGGGGGGGGGGGGGGAGGGTAGGAAAGAGTCAATTACGGAATCTCGGTCTCCTGGAAGAAAAAGCTCCCCAAATCCTTCAATGGATTAAAATTATGCCAATTTAGAACTATCCTCAGATAGAGACGACTTCAAATTTATTTATTTAGATTTTTTTTAAAAAAAAAATCCCACTTTTTATTATTTGTATAAATAACTTGGAGCAGCAGGCCTATCTAATGCTCCTTCCTCTTCCTCCTCTTCCTCCTCCTCTTTACCCTGCAACCACACCCCTGTGAGGTGGGCTGGGGTGAGAATGAAAAACTGGTCCAAACTCACCCAGCCAGCTCTCTTTTATCTAACCTATTTCTCTGTTGCTGTTGGAATGTTTTTCTGGAAAGTTTATTGAAGCAAAACAAACAGTACAATGGATATTATCCCAAAAGGGTTGTGTTTTTTCCCCCCTCCAAGAGTGCAACTGGACTTTCTGTCCCCCCCCCCCCCTTTGAAGCCGGTTTCGCTTCTCATACAAGAAGCTTCTTCAGCTCTTCAGACAACCATGACCTGAATGACTGAGAATCTTCATAGACATATAGCAGCGCAGTGGGTAGATTCCTCATCGGCCAGCCGCACAAAAATTCAACTTGCAAAGTGAAACTCATGAAACTCATGACAACAGTACAATTTCTTCTTCACCGTCCAGACCCTAACCTAATTTTTTTGGCAGGGTGGAGGGGAATCTCCTGCCACTGTCCCCATTAAGGAGGTATATTACAGGTATATAGTATTTAAATACTATATGCCTATAGGGAGGTTTCTCATTTGGGCAATGAAATGTCTGCAAGAAAACCACCAAGCCCAGAGAGCATCAAGGACTCCTCATGTCAACCTTGAGCTGCAAATATTTTATTACTAAATACTATTTTTTTTTTTTTAAATTCAGCCAATGATGGGCCATTCCCCTAATCGGAATGGTGGACCTCTGACAGAACCTGCTTGGCTGTCCTCTTAGCACTATTAAGCCATTGGTACAATCCAGTCACTCAAAAGTGAGATGGGCAGCAGGTAAATTTAATAAATAAAGAAAATACGGGTAGTTCTCACAACTCTGGGCACACTGAGAGTACATCTGCCGAACAACAGGACTGGCAACAGGAAAGTCATCCGGCCAGTAAAACGCTCTGCTAGCTCCATTCAGTTGTCCAGACGCCACCACCGCAAGGGATTGTGGGGTCATGAAACGATGATGATGATGATGATGATGATCATGATGATGATGATGATGATGATGATGATGATAGGTAGTTCTCAACTTTCAACGGTTCCTTTAGTGAACCGTTCACAGTTACAATGGCACCGGAAAAAAGGGACTTACGACCGTTTCCCTCCCCGCCCCCTTACCGCCGTTGCAGAATTCTCATGATCAGGTGATCAAACTTGAAACGCTTCAGAGAAGTAAATAAATAAATAAATAACCAAGATTAAATTCCTGTAACCGTCGAATATTAACATACCTCTCCCGCTTCTCTTTCTTCCCTATTTTGAATATCCAAATTGCTCCCTAGGAAATGAGTGACTGTCTCAACCCAAACCAGATGGCAAGACTTGAAGTCAAGAATGGGGTTCAAAATGACATAAATGCTCCCACCTTGCTTCAAATGGCAGGCTCTGGAATTCCCACCCCACCCCTCACAAATAAAGGCCGATCAAATTTAGCTTCTCCTTGAGTGGGAGGTCAACCCGAAAGGCCCCCATAATATACTGGGGGGGGGGGGAAGAGACGATGGCAAAACAATTCTGCACTGTTGTCAAGACATTAATTTGGCTTATGCGGCGCCAATGTGGACTCCAAGGTTGGTTAGCCGAGAGCTACAATTTCAGCTGTTAAGCCACATTTAAAAAAAAAATTCTATCGATCTATCTATCTATCTATCTATCTATCTATCTATCTATCTATCTATCTCTATATATCTTCCTCTCTTCCTCTCTGTCTCTGTCTTTCTCTCTCTCTCTCCCTCTCTCTTCTTCTCTCTCTGTCTCTCTCTCTCTCTCTTCCTCTCTCTCTCTCTCTTGCTTTCTCTTTCTTTCTCTCTTTCTCTCTCTGTCTCTCTCTTTCTCTCTCTCTTCCTCTCTCTGTCTGTCTCTCTCTTTCTGTCTCTGTCTGTCTCTATCTCTCTTCCTCTCTCTTCCTCTCTCTCTCTCTCTCTTTCTTCTGTCTCTCTCTTTCTCTCTCTTTCTTCTGTGTCTCTCTTTCTCTGTCTCTCTCTGTCTGTCTCTGTCTCTCTCTCTCTCTCTCAGCCGGTCGGATGGCATCCAGCAAATGCCTCTCGCTACCTCGCCTGTGCTGCTTGCCCCACAGCTCTTCGGTCCACGCGGTGGGCTTCCCCACGTGCCCTGACCAGTCCCCCACCCCCAACCAAGAGCAGTAACTAGATTAATTTTTCCCGTAGAGTGCAATATGAATGCAATATCCGAGGTTTTCAATTCAGTTGCATTGAAAGCGAAGGGTGCGTGTTCGTGTTTTATTCTTATGGTTATAATGTACACTGAAGGTGCAATGACAATAAAGTAAAGTAAGCAAGCTAGCCAGCAACTAACTAACTAACTAACTAACTAACCCCGACTGAGCACCCCATCCCTCTTCTTCCCTACCTGTACTCGGGCTTCGGTGAGGTCGATCTTCAAGGCCAGCTCCTCACGGGTGTAGATATCTGGGTAGTGGGTTTCGGCGAAGACCCTCTCCAGTTCCTTCAACTGGGCGCTGGTGAATGTGGTGCGAATCCTTCGCTGCTTCCGCTTCTCGTTCAGGCCGCCGTGGTCGGTGAAGAGTTTGTAGGGGACTGAAAGGTGTCGGGTGCAGGGAGGAAGGGAGAGTAGAGATACAATCAGGCGGACTCACTCCGCTTAAGGCCCGGCCGTGCGCTCTCCCCGTGGCGCCCTTTCCAGAGAGGGCTTTAAACAGAAGGGAGTGCGTTTATTTTATTTTTTCCACCCCCCTAAAAAAATTGGGGAAATGCGCGCAAAGGAAATTAAAAATAAAGCCAAGTCAGCTCGACGCGCGATTCCCTTCTCCCTTTCACACCCACATCCACGCACACCGTTCGCCTTCTTCTTCACGCCAATTCCCCTTAGCACGAAAGAGGCGGCGATTTTCATGATTTAATTTCTACGGAACGCAGGACGGGCATCTGCCCCCCCCCCACCACCTTCCCAAAAACAAAAAACAAAAGTTAAAGCTCGCTTCGCTTTGTCTACGGGAGGTGTGTAAAAAAAAAAAAAGAGTAAACTTAATTTTTGCACATTGCATACTAAAATTACTTCATTTTTTGCGTATTGCATATTAAAATGAAACTTCATTTTTGCGTATTAAAATGAAACTTCAGTTTTGCCTATTGCCTTTTAAAATGAAACTTCATTTTTGCTTATTGCATGTTACAATTAAACTTCATTTTTGCTTATTGCATGTTACAATTAAACTTCATTTTTGCTTATTGCGTGTTACAATGAAACTTCATTTTTGCCTATTGAGTATTACAATGAAACTTAATTTTTTGCGTATTGCGCGCTGATCCAAAATGGGAGGGAGAAGGGGAATCGCCCCCCCCCGACTTTGCTAAGGTGAGGGATGAAATTGGCCAAAGGCCCCCCTCCCCCCCCCCCCCCCCCCCCCCCCCTCAGCTTTTTCAAACCTCCCCCGCTTTTGCCAGCGATTCTTTGCGGGGAAGAAAGCTGCGAAGCGCAGCCGCGCGAAAGATTCGCTTCTCCGACGGCAGGTGGCCCGTTTAGACGGGCAGGCGGGCGTTTAGACCAGAACACTTGCGCCCTTTTCAAATGCGAACCTAAGAGGTGTGTCCGGCCAGGCGAGGAAGGGCCTCGTCCCTGGAACCGGGAGGGAGCGGCCCTTCCTTGCTGGGAGTGGGTGGGTTTCAAGCCTTGCAGCTGGACGGGTTTAGTCCCGGGCCAGAGGTCCGAGGCGGCGTCCCAGCGCTTGGCTTGTTTGGATCCAGCGCATCCTTCCCGGGAGAGCTGCTTGAAAATGAGGGGGGCAAATCCGGATCGAGGCTCATGTCACCGCCTCTTTGTCTGCCGGCCTAGCTGTAGGAAAAGGGGCTCCTTCCAAGAGAGCGAGAGAGGATGAGGATGAAGAAGAAGAAGAAAGAGAAGAAGAGAAGGAGGAAGAAGGAAAAAGGAGAAGGAGAAGAAGATAGAGAAGAAGAAGAAAGAGAAGGAGGAAGAAGGAAGGAGAAAGAGGAGAAGGAGAAAGAGAAGGAGAAAAAGAAGAAGGAAGAAGAAAGAAGGAGAAGGAGAAAGAGAAGAAGAGGAAGAAGTAGTAGTAGAAGAAGTAGTAGAAGAAGAAGAAGTAGTAGAAGAAGAAGTAGTAGAAGGAGGGGGAGGAAGGAGAAATAGAAGAAGAAGAAGAAGAAGGGAAGGGAGGTTTTGGCGACGGCGAGAAAGAAGCCGCCGTGGATGTCAGTAATCACCCTCCACTCGCTTTTATCTAATTATTTCTCCCCCCTCGCTTTTCAGTCTCCTTCGCAAAATAAATAAATTATGCCGATCATTTTGGCAGCTTAAGATAATTTTGTTGGCGGTTTCGGGTGTGACTTCGGATAGTGTAACCGTGTAAGTGAATTACAGCCGCCGCCGCCGCCGCGCCCCCCCTTTTTTTCCCTCCCCCATCTCCCCTCCCCTCCTTTCTCCCCTTCTCTCCTTCCCTGCGATCGCTTCTAACGTGATAAATCCTTTCATTTGGGTAAGCAAATTTCGTTTGGTAAAGACGAGATTTAATCCCCCCCCCCCTAAACCCCCACCCACACACACACTTCTCAAATGCAATCAAAGGTTTTTAAGCCAGCTCGCCCCGGCTGCCTTCCTTCCTGCCTTCCTTTCCTTCCCAGGTGGGCGGAGAGGGCTTACCTGCCGCGTAGGGGCTGCTCTGGTGGTCCCTAAGAGTGCCCAGGCTGCAGGATCCGGGCGTGAGGGACGGGCAGCCCGAGGTGGCCCCGAACGTGGTCCTGATGGGGTTATACTGGAAGCCGCTGGCTTGGCTGCAGGAGCTGAAATCCGCGTAAGCCGAGGCCAAGCTGGACGTATCCATGCCGGCCATGCACGACTCGTAGGCGGAGGAATTGAGGTAGGAATATTCCATTTTATACATTGGGAAAAAGACCAAAAGAAAAAAGAAAAAAAGAAGAAAGGAAAAAAGAAAAAAGGAGGCTCGAGCTGGCCCAGGCCGAGGGACTCGACTCGAGAGGGAGGGAGGGAGGGGAGGGAGAGGGAGGAAAGGGACGGGCTCTGGCGGGACGCTTGGCTGGCTTGGCCGCAAGGGCCTCGGGGAAGAGCGAGAAGGGTGCTCGCCGCTCGGCTCTCACTTCCAGAGTGGCCTCCCCGCTTGCAGCCGAGCTTGGTTTTATGAAAAAACGGCGGCGAGGAGCTGCCTTGCCTTGAGGTCTCTAGAGCATATAGTTCTCATCATGAGAGGGAAAAAAAAACAACACACCACCACCCCAACCAACTTGGCTCTTTCCTTTCTGGACAATAGCGGAGCGGTGCGGGTCTCAACGCTGCCTGCTTTTTACATGACAATAACTCATCAGTCTATTGGGCTGGCGTGGTGTGTGTGTGTGTGTGTGTGTGTGAGAGAGAGAGGGTTGGGAGGAGGAGGAGGAGGAGGAGGAAGGTGGGGGGGGGGGGGGAGAGGGGGGGAAGGGGGGGGGGGACCAAGGGGGGGGGGGGGGGCCCCCGCGCCGCCCCCCTTCCCCTCTCCCCCCCCCCCCCCCCTTCCTTCTTCCCTTCCCCCGACCCCCCCCCCCCCCGCCCCCGATTCCTCCATCTCTAATTTGACTTTAATCTTCTCTCTGCGCCCCCTGCCCAAAATCCGTTGAGGTCCTGGCCCCGCCCTCTCTTCTTCCCCTTAAACACCCCCCCCCCTTTTAATTTAACCAGCCGCCTTGGGCAAAGAGAGAGGCAGAGAGAAAAGAAGGGGAGGTTGCCTTTAAACGCATAGAACACGCATCTAAGCCGCGTTCACATGTACGCGCGGAACCCCTGGAGGGTTTCTTTTGCCTCTTCTTCCCTAAACAAATCCCCCTCCTCCTCCGGGAGGTTTTTTTTTTTTTTTTTTTATCCCCCCCCTCCTCCTTTTCCACCCCCCCCTCCTTTCTCCACCCTCCCTTGATGTCAACGTGAAAACCGGTTTTGTCAACGCGTTACACGCCCAATTGCCGGACTAAAGGACTCCCCGAAGGGCGTGAAACCTTATAAAGGACCGAGACGCCAAGGAGGACGTGGGCACCCTCGGAAAGGGACGTTTGGGGGGTGGGGAGGAGGAGGAGGAGGAGGAGGAAAGCAGGGCCGGGCCGAGCCGAGCCGAGCCGAACTGAGCCGAGCCGGGCCAAGAGAGATGGGAAAGGCGGCGAACCAGGAGCGCGGCGTCGGTGTTTCGAACCCAAAACTCTCTCTTGGGTTGCTTGCCTTTCGGTCTGGCGGCGGCAGCGGGTGGGGGAAGAAGCCCAGGGCACCCCCTCCCCCCAAATCGCCCAGCCGGGTCCTTGCATTAAATGAGCTTTTCCCTCCTCGCACGCCAAGCTTCAAAATAATTATATATATTTGGTTAAAGGAAAAACATCGGTCCTGTTTGATTTCCTTCGCTTGGAAGACATCCCTGGGCAGGGAAGCTTCCCCTTCTCCTCGGTCCAAAGGGTCTCACCCCCCCCCCCCCCATCCCCCCCCCCCCCCGACCCCCCCCCCGCCCGCACGCCCCCGGCTCCGTTTTACTTACTGCCCCATTTCCTTCCAATCCAGCCCGCCTCCAACCACAGGATTGGGTGTGTGTGTGTGTGAGGGGAGTCAGGTGTCCCCCAATTTCTGTGGGTCCTCCTGCTCCGACCCCTCTTCCCCCTTCCCCACGACTTCTGCAAGGGTCCCGTAAACGGACACGTGTCCGGTTTAAAAAAACCTCGTCCCGAGGTTTCGCTTGGCGCGCTCGGACACGCTGCGTATTGGCGAAGCGGACTCTTTTCGTTCGCTTCCTTTCCCCGAGGTTTATATTCTTTCGGGGTTTTTGTTTTTCCCCCCGTTAATTCTTTTTTTCTTTCCCGGATTTCTTGGTCTCCTCCACGGCGAGACGGCGGAGCGAAAGCAATTCTCAGCGCCGGGTAGCGGCGCCTCCCTTTCCCCTCCCGGCCGGTCCCGAAGAGAGAAACGGAGGGCTAATTAGCTCTATCACATTCATTACCGCCCGTTATGTAATTAAAGTAACAAACTCCGAGTATTTACCAGGCTCCCGTCCAGTCCAATCAGCGCAAAGCGGGCCTATTTTTATAAGATAGATAGGTAAGTAGGTAGAAAGATTCCAAGATAGGGGAGAGAGAGAGAGAGAGAGAGAGAGAGAGAGAGAGAGAGAGAGAATAGGTAGGTAAGTAGGTAGATACAGAGACAAGATAGAAATATAGATAGATATAAAAGATATAGGTAGGTAGGTAGGTAGGTAAATAGAATAGATAGGTAAGTAGATAGATAGATAGATAGATAGATAGATAGATAGATAGATAGATAGATAGATAGATAGATAGATAGATAGATGAATAGATGAATAGATGAATAGATGAATAGATAGATAGAATAGATAGATAGAATAGATAGAATAGATAGAA